AAAAAAAAAATTTTCGGCTAACATTATAGCCTTCATCAGTGTCATATAAAAATATAGTGTCGAATATAATCCAAAAATTGCATATAAAATATTAAAGCCAAACCACATAATGTTTACTGCAATTAATAAACTAATATAAACTTGAAGAATTTAGCAAAAACTAAAAAAAATATTTTTAAAGTGTTATTATTCTTAACATAGGCTTATTTACATTGACTATGGAGTATGATTTCAGCCATAGTCAAATATAAGGAATAATTATGTTAGCGTGACGTCATAAATCTCGCTCCGAGGCTGTCTATTTAGAGATGGCATTGCGTCAGCATGGTCGCAAGTTGCTAACCTAATAAAATTAACACTAGAAAAGCCCGTGGGAACTGTCAAATTCAAAGTTATTCGTTTCACAGACTATATTTATTTTTTGAAAAAATCCAAAAAAAAAAAAAAAAAAAAAAAAAAAAAAAAAAAAAAAAAAAAAAAAAAAAAAAAAAAAAAAAAAAAAAAACATTTTGTTTGTGAGGGGGACAACTTTGCCCCAAAAATGATTACAAAATCTTCAACCCTCTAAGCAGGGGTGTCATCCCCAACTTTTTTCAAAATGGGAAGGGGGGTCAGGTGGCGCCGCAATGAAAAAGCTTTCTGTTCTCTATACTTTCCCCGAGGGGTGTCTCACCATATGCTGGGCGTGCATTAGAAATTTCTAAAAAAATTTGAAAATTTAAAAGTACTTTTGCAAAAAACATAAGTGATGATGAATTAAAAAAGCAACAGTAATGAAGCAAATGCTGAAAATGTTGCCCGTCAACCTCTATACAGTAATACAAATTATTTTCAAACCGTTCTCGAACATTCTGAAGAACTTGCGGGGTCACTACGCGACAAACATCAATAATACGTCTTCGCAAATCTTCTAATGAGGCGGGTGGAGTGCTATACACTTTACTTTTTATGTGTTCCCTTTAAAAAATAGTCTAGAGGAGTCAAGTCGGGTGACCGGGGAGGCCCCTCAATTACACCCCTTCGTCCTATCCACCGACCGGGAAAGTTATTGTTTAAATAATTACGCACATTTTGAGAGTAATGTGGAGGTGCACCGTCTTGTTGAAATATTAGTTGCGTTTCAACATATCCAGGATTATTCTCTATGATGTTAGGTAGGGCTGGGTCGATGGTATTTTCCAGTAAATCCAAGTACATATCACCTGTTACATTTCCAGGGAGAAAAAAGGACACACAATAGAATTTCCAAAAATACCAGCCCACACCTTCAATTTCTAAGGGTTTTATGCGTGCACCTCGTGAAAAACCCTGGGGTTGTCCTCAGCCCAGTACCGACAGTTGTGCCGATTAACGACACCGTTCAAAAAGAAAGAAAACTCATCCGAAAAACACACATTAAATAACGCATACGTCACAGAACAGCTATCTAGCAGCTACCGCACCTGATCGTTCAACCTTGTGGCAAGTGAAAAAATGCGTAAACATCTAGAAATAATAAGAAATAACAGCAAATTGGTGGAAGGAATTTATCCTTATCATTTACTCTCATAAATGTTTAAATAAACTTTTCAAATTTCAATCCTTCATATTTTCTCAATGACTCGACCGATTTTCAAAAACGAAGCGGGAAAGTATAGAGAATAGAAAGCCTTTTTCATTGCGGTATCACTTGACCCCCCTTCCCATTTGAAAAAAATTAGGAGATGACACCCCCGCTTAGAGGGTTGAAGATTTTGCAATCATTTTTGGGGCAAAAGTTGTCCCCCTCACAAACAAAATTGACGTGTTTTTGAATTTTCTGAAAAAAAAATTACCCTGGCCGTTATGCCTTGCGGAACGTTTTCGATGGGCCACCCTGTATACCGAAACCTATAATTCAATTTCCTTGCATCAGTTATGGTTTTCAGTGAAATATTATGTTAAAAGTGATTCTATTCTATCGTCTATTTTTATTATCACAATAAACATCTACGAAAGTGATCTACAAGAAACAAAAGTGAATTTGTAAGCAAAGCACATCGCACATTTTAGCTACTACTAGCAGCAACATTTAATTCATATTTTAATAAGCTACATATATATTTCTTTTTTTTTATTTAAATTGGTGATATTTCGTAAGCTACATTTTCACAGAGCTTACTGACACTAATAGACATACATTTTTTTACATTTTCAACACACTGGTAGCTACTTTTAGCATTATAGCAAAATCTAAAACTCACCCTTGATTGGGGTAGGCATATAGTTTCAGTCCCGGCAACAATAGGTCCGTCACACTGGAAATTTAAAACAATGCGTTGTTCAATATATATAGACTTCTATTAACATTATGTTATACTATTATAACTTTACACATTAATATTATTTCTGTTGTATTTAATAATAAATTTGATGGGGTAGGGCCCCCCGAAACCGGTAGTGAGAGCAGGTTGATTCACATTATGACGAACACAGCGTGGAATTAATTTCTATATTAGCAGTTCAAGGCAAGAAACTCTTATATAATTTTATTATATACCGAAAAACTGCAAGAAATTTATTTTCCATTATATATTTTGGGTTAGCCGAAAAAAGCCTTTATTTACTATCGATAGTTGTGCCTCGGTGGTACGAAAGTACTACCATTGCATGCAGGCCGCTATCTCGCGATGCGGGACTTAATATCTTACCGCTACTTTACGACAAGTCGTATTTATATATTCTGCGCTGTGCTCGTCGTTTTGTGGAAATACCCAAACTCACCTGATGATGGGGTAGGGCCCCGAAACCGGTAGTGAGAGCAGGTGATTCACATTATGACGAACACAGCGTGGAATTAATTTCTATATTAGCAGTTCAAGGCAAGAAACTCTAAAAACTGCAAGAAATTTTTTTTTTAATAATAAATATATATTTGTATTAGATATATATAAGCATCTCTCATTAAGAGCAAATTTGGCACCAGTGCTAAAATATTAATGTAAAACATTTGTTTGAAAATTAATTTATAAAAGCTCAGTCAAGTACCATTTAAATTGTGATTTCGAAACAAGATATTTGTTATAGAATTTAGAGTTTATTATATGTTGTAATATTCAGATTATTTGTTTTACCAAGAATAAAATTAAAATTAATATTTTATATAATAAGAGTGAGATCTTGAAAATATTCATAATATTTAAAAGCACTACAATATATTGTATTTCAGTCATCTAAAATCAGCATAGACCTACAAGTTTATAATATTACTAGTTTGGCAAAATATATTAAGATTCTCATATCATTATGATTTGAACTATATTACTACCAATAATAAATTAATTTAGAATATGTGTATCACAGATCCCGTAGTTATGACAATTTAAAAACATTTGCCCACGACTTAATAATAAATCAATATTCTACTTCCAAGCTGAAGGAATATGGTGCCCATATTTGTAATAGAGTGAAATATAATAAATCACACTTTGCATTTACTTTACATTTCTTGCTATGTCAACGTGACACTCACAACATCCCGATGCGCGGTGTGGATGATTTGACGTTATCTTTTCTTTTTACGATGACTTTTGACGACTTTTCTTTTTATTAATTTTGACGTTTAAAATTGTCAAATGTTAAGTAGGTAGTGATTATTAAGTGGCATATGAAGAACTCGTTTAAAATCAAAAAATGAATTATGAGAGTGATAATGAGCCCTGTACACCACCAGAGATAGCAGAGGCGGTCAAATTAACAAGTCTTGGATTGCTACCACAAAAGTCTAAGGATCATTACATGTCTACCTATAAAAACTTTCTAGACTCTAGGATTGCTAAATGCATCTAATAATATAAATAATAAAACACATCTAATAATAAACATCCCAAATATTTGAAAATAGAATAGTTTGAGACTCTCGATACATAGCAACTCGTCTGCGACTCTCGATACATAGCAACTGATGATATTGACGTTTTTATTTAAAGTTAATTTTGACGTTTGAAATTGCCAAATTTTAAATAGGTAGTGTCATTTTCCCCTATAACATGAATACAATAATTAATAGTAAGATTAACATTAAAAATACAAATTCAAACACTCCTCATAATTATTATAATGGCCGTGGACCAAGTATAGTATTCAACTCGCAGTTTATAGCCATTATTCGGCTCGTGACGCAAACGTCACCCTGCGTGAATAATGGCTAGCATAAATTGCTCGTTCAATAATATACTATTAAGGATATATTTAAATATTATGTGAATAAATATCGATAAATATTAGTTAAATGAAAACATTTTAAAGCAAAGCCCATTTATGGTCCTATTTTACATACAAAATAAAATACCATTAAAATTTAATGGTGGTTGTTTTAATATGTTTTCTTTCGACTGCTTAAGTCCTCAAACAAACAAAAATCCAACTTGTACATATTTAAAAAAGTAATTTCCGGTTTTGTGTTATCTTTTTATAAATATCTTTACAATAAAAGCAACATATATTCAAATGTATTGAGACATACGTAAAAAAGATGCATGAGTTGATGTAAGCACAATATCTAATATTAAAATATTGACCAAAGTGTATTTCTATACAAGATTTACTTGAATATATTGAATATCGTTTGAAAATTCATACCAGCTGGTGGTTGTTTTAATTTCCGGTATATAAATCTATAGCGGGGTTGCCAAATTGATATCAGATAACTTAGTCTTATAACACAATGCATTTTTACCACCGCGTAAATTATTATACCATTTACTTATATATTTACTTTAAATATACTTATATGTGGGAAAGTAGTAAGATTTTCCAACAATGGAGGCCTTTATATGGCATTTTTTTAATGTTTTTTAAGGGGCGTCACATAATAAAAAAATATAGAAAGTTAAACAAAGTTGTGTTATGTTCATAATCAGGCACATCCCATTGTGAATCTTGAAACTTGAAGAAATAAAAATTTGTTTCATAGCAAAGATAGGATAGATTGAAGAATCTACATAATCTAGTAAATATGCAATGGGACTATATACAATGGTAATAATTATATTCAATATACAGGGTCATAAATAAGTGCAAATTTTTGCAGGGCTAGTAGACCTCGATAGAGGAAACATATTTTCTCGATACAGTCCAAAATAACCGACTTGCTTTAGTTTGAAAATTTCCAAAAAAATATATTTTTTGCTTAAATTTTGAGAACCAATGGATCCTCTCTGAGTTTTCCTCCTTGTAAATTTAATCTATGTTGCCAAATTATCAAAAAATTATGCTTTTCAAATAAATACTAAATTATTTTTTTTTCGTAAAAAACTCATAATCGTGTTTCTGGCGTCAAAATATACTACCCCTAAAAATATTTGCATTTCTTTAAGACTCACCCTGTATAATAAAATATAGACTTTGACAGCAAAACACAGCTTTTCCAATTGTATAATTTAAAAATTAAATAATGATAAATTATCTATCAAAAAATAATTATAATTCTAATTAACTGAAATAAAACAATATTAACTAAAATAGTATCATTAGCTCGTCAGAATCTTTCCTCTATCAATCAGTCTTTCAATAACACAACGTATATGCATGCATTTAAATATTCAGTTGTTATATTAAACATTGTATTATATCCGGTTTGACACTAACAATACATAACGACATGTATATGTACCGATTTTCATAAAATATCGGTCCATAATTTACACATTTCCAACCCAAATTAAAGCCGTTCATTTGATCTGCACAGATACATATTATTTTCAGTCGGAACCCCCCTCAATGAAACCTAAACAAATATTTCCACTTTAACTAAACACAATTGCCCATCATTCCACCTAAAATATTCAAATCTCGTTATTTTAACACATCCACTGTCCTTCGCTATAGTTTGTTCCATATTTATTTCGGCTGAAATACCGCCGCCATGCGCCAGTGTAATTTATGTATGTACACCGTTGGATATTATCCTAATTTAGTCGATTTTGAGGTTTACGCGAATTTTGTTTTAATGACATAGGTGAGCTGCAGGCGCTAAAGTATGCAATTTGTAGGAGAGCGTAGGAGGAATGTTGGGGGTATAGTTAAACTCGTGAAAATATTTTAATGTTGATGTGTAATACTGTTGAATAATTGTAAATTTTCGATGTATGTGGTTAATTTATTATTAGTAGTTTGATGGTTGATTTAAAGTTATTAATTTTTTTTTGTGGAAGAAAAACCTGCAAACCAGAGACCGTAAGTGGTACTGTCGGGGTGGTTGAGGTACTTTACCGACTAAAAAACCTTTACAAACCGCTTTGAGTATTTCCCGAGGAACTATCTTTCTGCATTACTTCTAGGAAAGGCAGTTTTAGTGTGATGTTTCAGTTCATTGAGCACTTCAATGAAAGTTGGACACTTGAGCAGTATGGTAAGTACATTAAAATTATTTTTCCTTTCCAAACCTATTGGCTTCGTTTTCTTTTGCAGATATCAGCACTTCCTGAATGCTTTCCCGTTCCCATTTGACTTAAGCATCATTGGCACCAAGTTAGTATAAGGTGTAAGTGTTGGTGTAAGTTAGTTGCTCTGTATTTAGACTCTCCATTAATTTATTTCGTTTATAGGGCCGCCTTTTGTATTCCAGCATTGTGTGCTTCCTGCAGGAAGAAAACCGGGTAGACCGAGAAGAAGTTGGCAGGCAAGTTGCATGGAGAGACAGACAGGCATGGAGAGATGGCATCGGAAGACGTAGAACGTTAAACCGATTAATATATATATATATATATATATATATATATATATATATATATATATATATATATATATATATATATATATATATATATATATATATATGGCATATAGATATATATATATATATAACCGATATATATATATATATATATATATATATATATATATATATATATATATATATATATATATATATATATATATATATATATATATATATATATATATATATATATATATATATATATATATATATATATATATATTAGACTAGAAACTCCAATTTAGGTAGAATTTACTGAAGTTTAAAATGTAGTCTTCATTTTTAGAAAATGTTAAATATATCAAAAACCTTACATTTTAGTCTTATGCTTCTCTAATGAAACTTACATTTATTTCTATCTAGAATCCGAAAATGAATTAATATACAGGGTGTCTCAGAAATAAATGCAAGTATTATAACTGGTAGAATAATTCAACCCCAGAAACATACCTATGAGGTTTTTTCGCGAAAAAAAAAATGAAAATTCGGAATTTTTGGATTTTTTATTAGTTTTTAGTCAAAAAACATAATTTCTTG